TGTGTGTGCAGGTGGGGGCGTGGTGTGTGCGTGTGTGCTGTGGGGAGGGAGCGTGGTGTGTGGCGTGTGATGGGGTGGGGGGGCAGTGTCGTGTCTGTCTGTCTGTCTGTATTTCTTGTGCCTCTTTATCACTATCTTCATCTTGCCTCTCTCTCTCTTTCTCGTAAGGCTCCCTCTAATCTTATCTCTCTCTCTCCCTCTCTCTACCTATCTGTCTGTCTCTCTCTCTCATCTGTGTGTGGCGTGTGTGTGTGTGTCTCTTCTCTTCTCTATCTTCTTCCTCTCATCTTTTCTCATCTCGCCTGACTGATTATCCATTGCCTGATTATTACATCTTTTCATCGTATCCTTTGCAGGAAGCTGACGTGGGTACTGCGGGACGCTGGGCTGGATTCCTGCAGCTACCTCTTTCTCTCGCTCTCTCTCTCTCTCTCTCACTCTCGTTCTCTCCGTTCTCGTCTTTCTCTCCTCTCAATGCGCACACGATTATAATTCTGCCATCGTGTCTTCTTTGCAGGAACTTGGCACGTGCGGGACTGCGGGCGCTGGGCTGGGTTCCTGCAGTACTCTCTCTCTTTCATCTTTCTCTCATCTCCGTCTCTCTCTCACTCTCGTTCTCTCGTTTCTCTCCTCTCATTGCGCACGTAACTGAATTCATAATTTCTTCATCGCGGTCTTCTTTGCAGAAGCTGACGTGGGCTGCCGGGCGCTGGGCTGGTTCCTGCAGTACCCTCTCTCTCTTTCTCTTTCTCTCTCTCTCTTCTCTCTCACTTTCTTCGTTCTCATCTTTCTCTCCTCTCATTGCGCACACTGATTATAATTCTTCATCGTGTCTTCTTTGCAGGAAGCTGACGTGGGGACTGCGGGCGCTGGGCTGGTTCCTGCAGTTCCTCGGATTCACCTGCATGACCACCATCATCACGGAACTGCTCTCGTGGCTCCCTCTAGTGAGAGATTTCATTAAGGCCTCGGCATCGCCACCGTGAACCTGGGTCTCAATGTCGGCTGGGCACGATCTCGTCGAGCTGTCGTCGTCCTGCAGCATCGGAATGGATCTGGTACCGCCCCCTGGTGGGAGTCGTCCTCCTCGTCGTCGCCACGCTGCCGTCTGTCATCATGCATGTGAACTCGCGGCGACCCAGCGCGGAGCACGTCGACTAGCGTGACAGCTGCTGCCACGGGTGGCGGGGGGTTGCGCCCCCCCCTCCCCCTGAGTAAGACCCTTCTCGTTCTTTCTCCTAACTCCGGTATGCCCATGCCTCCCATCCCACCTTTCTCCCAACTATCCCCGCTTCTCCCTCCTCCCTCCTATTCCTACCGCTCATCGTCGTCATAATAATCCCCATCTACACCACATACACCCCTACCCCCATCTTCCCTTATCCAAACACCTTTCCCCCTCGCCTTATATATATCTGAACCCCCTACAGCCGCATACAGCTCTTGAGGACCAGAGTCTTTCGCAACGCAGCCTCGAGTGCACTCCATTTGTCTCCCACCATAATTTGCACCCCGCCACATCAGCCTTTGATTCACTTGCATATACCACACGCACACGGCGCCACCGACTAAACCACGCAGATCGGACGTTATGTAATGGGTAGCGTCCCCTCGCGTGACATTGGAAGCGTTCAAGCGCGCGGAGGGGGACGCAGCTACGACCGCATGCTATAGAGTTCACAGTACTTGCGCTTTCTGTATTTCTTCATCGTTGACTAGTTATTTTTTGATAGAAATAAACTATTTCGTTTGTTACACGGTTGTTAGTTCACAGCAGCTCACGTGTGCGCATTCTGTTTGATTTATGGCAGCGAGACAGGAAGCTGCATAAATTCCCAGCGAGTATTTCTCCAGCCTGGCATTCACAACCAAACCTATCAGCCACGCACATGAACATCTCCGTGATCAACATGTAACTTAATGTTTCCATCTACATATGAATGACATCAATTCACACATATAAGTGCTACCTTCCACGTATGAATGACTCCAACCACATATGAATGACTCTGTCCACATACAACACCTTCCACGTATGAATGACTCCTACCACATATGAATGACTCCATCCACATACAATACCTTTCAGACATGGTTGACTCACACCACATATGAAACAACTCGTGGTCCACATTACATACTTTTGAGGACATGGAATTGACTCGACACACATAATGAAACAACTCTCGCAGCATACAATGAACTTTGAGACCATGCGTTGACTGCACACCACATTTATGAACAACTCTGTCCACATACAATACCTTTCAGACATGGTTGACTCACACCACATATGAACAACTCTGTCCACATACAATACCTTTGAGACATGGTTGACTCACACCACATATGAACAACTCTGATCCAACATACCAAATAACCTTTAAGAGCGTGCGGTGACTCACACACATCGATGAACAAACTCTGTCCACATACAATACCTTTTAGGTATTAACGACTCCATCCACATATGAATGAATGACTGCATGTAAATGACTTCACCCCAAATCCAGGTGAGTGAGAATACACACACATATGACTCCATCCATGCATTAAAATCTCTATAGACATAAGATGAACTCCATCCACATATATCTAACACGTAAGTCCATACATAAACAACTCGGATCCACATATACTCGATATGTATGTCTCCCACATCGTATGAATCACTTCCTTCTTTATTGAATCCAGCCCCCCTCCCCACAGAAACCCAGAAACCCAGCCCCTGGTCCTGGGGCCTTTCTGAACCCAGATCCCCCTGCAATCTGGCATCTTATTCAGCTGCCCTATCCAAAGCACCCCGCAACCGCAAACGCAGCCCCTTGTCCTGGGGCCTTTCTGAAAACAGAGCAATCTGGCATCCCTGCTTACTCAGGTGCCCTATCTAAGGCAGCACCCCCTACCCTTAAACTTATCGCTCTGCTGAATTTGACACCCACCCCCCAAACACTGCACCCTGGAGCCATGCCACTTACATGCCTTCGCTATGGCACTTCACCAGAATATATTGAAAGTGAGTAACTAAGCAGCATTGATTTACTCACCGTTGCCTTGTTGCCTATCCAGTAATAGATCTGCCAGTTGATCCCCCCTTGCTCGTCGATCACTGTCTGTAGAACGATGTAGCAGTCTCCCTCGTAAAAAGTTCCGTTCAGCACTGTAATAATTCATGAGATTAGGGGTTAGGACCATCACAGTGGTATATCGCATAACATCGCACATAAACGTTGGCAGTAAGTAGATCATTGAACAGCAAGTATGAAGATTAATTACTGAACAGCCTCCGTAAATTATTAAACAGACGTACTAGACAAGGCTGGAATTCCTCGCTCGGAAAAAGCACGCTCTCGTAAATATTTCATTTCGTAGCCATCGGTCGGGGCTCGATTAGCTTCGAAATATCAGCTAGCGACTGCTGTCTAAGCAGCTACGAGGTAGCAGCATTGGAAGGGTGTGGTAGTTGTGGTTGCTACTCAATCACCTTCGTCCAGTTGGTTGGGAACAAAGTTCTCGATTTCCCAGATGGTTACTCCCGGGATCTGTCCGACATCTTCCTCGAAGAAGTCGCTGTAATCTAGCGCTGGCTTCTCCAGTTCATCCTTCCACTTCTTTGGCCTGCGAGAAAGGTAGCGAGAACGTTCACTATAGTCATATGTACATTTACTGCAAATGTGCCAGACAAACCTCTGCTCGCTGGAATAAGTACTACATCTACAAACAACGCTAATAACGTGAAGAAATATTGATACAGTTAAACTTGTGTATAAGGCGCATTCAAAGGGAATTTGTCTTTTGTGTACATTCAAAGAAAGTATCTTTTATAGACAAATGTCTGTTCTGTAAAGGTGGTTTCCATGTATAAATAACACTCAAGGGAAATGGTAAGTGTCCTTTATAGCCAGGTGTCCGCTAACACAGGTTTATCTGCTTAAAATTTTTTTACGTCGAATCGCGACATCACTACTCACTTTAGATCCAGTGGTTCCTCGTCCTTCTTGCCAGCCTTCTTCTTCTGCTTCTTCTTCGTGATTTCAGTGAAGCCCTTCAGAATCTTCTTCTGGTCGCTATCGGGTTCCTGGTCGCGACCGTCCCTCCTTCTCCTCAGCCTCATCTTCCTCGCAAGCGGGTCCGACTTAGGTTTATCTGAAGCAACAACGCAGAGTTCGTAAGCACCAACCTATCTCCTTCTTTTCCTCCTAAGAAAGTAGGATAACTGACCTATGTGTCTTAGTGAAATAACCACCTAGCTCTTTGGATATTGTTGCTAGGTCGGGTGGGTCAAGCTAGACTAGTTTGTATGTGATTTTTTGTGCATGCACACCTAAATGTCAATTTGTGACACTCCGTCACTATGCAACGTTTAAAAAAATGTCCTATCGCAAAACAGTGATAGGCTACAGTCACCCGTGAACTATTCCAGATGGTTATATCAATCGAATCCACATCGTACCTTGGGCTCAAATCCCTAAATGTTATATTCATGCGGTTGCCCTCCCAATATTTTCTTTCCAATATCGGCTACTGTATCCTGCTTATCATACCAGGTGATTCTCAAATTATGTTATAAATGACAACAGGTTCAAATTCTCAAACCCTAGATTCATCCTGTTGTACCCTACCCCCAACACATCTTTTGATTTCAGATGCAATTTCCAGGTTAAATTCTTAAATTCCACATTCATCCTGTTGTATCCTACCCAAGGATCTTTTGCCAGACATCTTTTGATTCCAGATCCAAATTCCAGGTTAAACTCTTAAACCCTACATTCATCCTGTTTTACCCCCCATATTTTCTTTCCAACATCATTAGGTAAGCTAAGTGTGCCACAAAGAGAAGCATCTCATACCAGCTAGACCAGTTTGTATGTAATATTCATGCATGAACACCCAAATTTCGGACACTTCGTCGTATATGGGACAAAGGAAAGCATCCCGTACCGGGGGTGAGGCCGGGTTGCGGAGCCGCGCCGGCCAGCCGCAGCTGGTGACTCAGCGAGAAGTCGATGTTGTAGTATTCTAGTCCGGCGCCTTTCTGCATCGCCATCGGCTTCGGCGGCATCACGAGGTCCTTGTTGTTCCTCACGTCCAGAGTCTGAGTGACAGAGCAAGCAAAATGGCTTGTAAATTACGTAGGCAAATCCTCGTGTGGTGAACATCCTAATATTCTAGTGAAATCCTATAAAATCTAGGTGAATATCCTACTGTTAGGCTAGTGGACTACATATAGGCTAGTGGACCAGCAATGCCAGTACTTAAGGCTAATACTACGACAGTACTTACTGTAAAAAGTATTTTACTATAGATGGTACTTAACGCTACAACTACAGCAGAACAACAATCCTGACTGGTATTAAAGAAGAAGGGTAATGACTACACCATATTATTAGCATCAATGAGCCATTGAAACAAAAGTTAGAGGAACCTGAACAGATTAACAAAAGTTGAATATAATCACTGGATAACTAACAGGACGTCTACTATCTACACAAAAGTGCTAGAAGCTAAGCCAGTGCAACCACATTTCGCGATGCCCCATGCCTCCTGTCATATCATCTTTCATAAACGTATATGATAATAATGCAGATATAATAAATGCAGAGGATGACCATGTGGCACCATCTACCGGCCGAAAAACACACCACACCTTGAGCTCGGTGAGGAGGTGCACGGCTTCGGGAAGCGTTACGAGGCGGTTGTTGTTGAGGATGAGGCGCTGCAGCTTGCCGCAGCGACACAGCCCCTCGGGGATCATCTCCAGGTTGTTGTCGGCGGCCATGAACACCTCGAGCTGATGCAGCTTGCCGATCCCCGACGGAATGCCCTCGAAGTCGACCTCGTTTGAGTTCAGGTAGAGCCGCTTCATGCAGGTGAGCTTGCAGAGTTGAGGCTGACGGGAGAAGACGGAGGCAGAGAGTTGGCCGTGGGCAGGGTACACGCGGCCGCGGGTAATGAGAACTGCCAAAGTTACGGAGAATTATAGTGAGTGGATGCAGAGGGAGATAGTTTCCATGCAGGTGAGATTGCAGAGTTGAGGCTGATAAGAGACAGTGGAAGGGGGAATTCAGGGGGAGTTCAGTGGGCTTGGGCATCCATGGCCGCGGGTAAGAGAACCGCACAGGTTACGGAGAATTGTGGCGACGGGAGGTAGAGAGAGAGAGAAAGAGAGAGACACGGGTCGTTTGGCGCGCGCGGTTGCGCGCCGACGCGCTCGTGGCGGCCGGTGAGGGACGGCGCGAGCGTCGGGGCTCGCCGGCGGCCGCGCCGCTACGTGGGACCGCCCCGTGAAAGCGGGCCGTCGTGGTCCGCGCCAGGGCGCCGCACGCGAGTCGTCGGCGAACGTGGAGCGGGCGTCGTGGGTCTCGCGCCGCGACGGACCACGCCGCGAGTCTGGCCGACGTGAGACAGCGGGCGCGTGGGTTCGCGGCGCCGGCCGAGAACGTTCGTGCGACGGTGAGGCGGCGCCGTCGTGGGCGCGCGCCGCGAGCTCGGTGCACCGTAAGCGGGCGTGTGCGGTCGCGCCAGCCGACGCGAGATCCGCTGCTCCAGCGTCGACGCTGAGGCCGCGTCGGTGGTGCGCGCAGCGCATGTTCACGACGCCGGGGGCCGGCTTTCGTTTCGCGTTCGTTTTCTCACCGGAAAGGCATTCATCTTGTTCCAGGAGACGTTGAGGACCTCCATCTTGGACCAGACCTCGATGCCGGAGCCGATCTCGCGTATGCGGTTGTGTCCGAGGTTGAGCCGCTTCAGGTTGCACATGGAGAAGAGGCCGTCGGGAACCCGGTTCATCTCGTTGTAGGACAGGTCCAGCTCTGCGCAGACACGTCACGCGAGTGTACACAGGACTAGACAGACGTCACACGCATGCTCATCACGGACATAACGTCACGTCGCATGTCAATCACGGACTAACAAGTCACACGCATGTCACTCACAGACTAAACAACGTCAACGCCATGTTCATCACAACTAAACGTCACGCGCAATGTCCATCACGACTTAACAACGTCACGCAACATGTCATCACAGACTAACACAAGCGTCATGCACATGTCACACAGACTAACAACGTCACGCGCATGTCATCAACGACTAATCAACTCACGCGCATGCTCATCGACGGACCTAAGCAACGTCTACGCACATGTCATCACAGACTACACACGTCATGACACA